CGGTCGCACGTCGGCCGAAGGCATCTTTCTTTCCGCTGCCGCTTTCTGTACGCTGATTTGTTGAGACAAAATAATTAATTTCTCAAAAACTATTGCGAATATCGCAAAACGGCACAGGACTTTCTTGCTCACCTCAATCCGTTCTACGTTCTCACCAAGGGTCATCATGGGACTTCGGGACACCCTGTATAATTATATACATGTATATGTATATATAATTATATATGATTATATATGGACTTTTTTCCAGGTATATATAATTATATATAGAGTATCTCAGAATAATTTACGAAGCTCTCGTGAGAACGTTGAGCGGATTAAAATAAATATATGTCGCCATACCGCGTTGTGGCGAGATGTAAGAGCACAGCGGTATAAGTATAGGCAGTGGTGCATTGTCTTCCAATCGCCACGCGCGACATCCGCGCGCTTTATTATTGGGCTGCATTGTGACTCGAGCAGTCCGTCCTCTACCACTTAGCACACGTTTTTCCTTAATCTTTCGTAATTAATTTTTCGGTTATTATTACAAATATCGCAAAACGGTATAGGACTTTTATATTTATTTGAATTCGCTTTACGTTTTCACGAGAGCTTCGTAGATTGTTCTGAGATACCCTGTATACATTAATATTTCTTTTGAATTATATATAATTGTATATAGAACGTGACAATTTTGAAGAAATTTTATATTTCATTATATTTCATTATATATAATTATATGCAACGTTACATATAATCATATATAATTATATATATTTAGATATAATTATATATGATTATATATGAAAAATTTTTTCCCGGGAAGTACAAATAATCTCAGGGAACCTTAGATTAACAACTAACTGAAAAACTTTTGTTTATTTTTGGGAAAAAAAAATGATAGCGCACTCTTTTAGAATGTGTACTTTAATCGTGAAAAAGCGCTTTTCAATTCATGCAGTCAGAACAACATAGGATTTCATGGATTTTTGCAGGCATCTGACGGCACACACTTCGACATCTCCTTAATAATTTTGCAAGTAATCTTGTAATGAAATAGAGGAAATGGAGGAATGTGATAATATCGTGCGTTATAATCGGAGGATATATAAATATAAATTATAATGGAAAATGATACTATTATATTCTCTTAAAGTGAATCAGTGAATAGTCACTGATATTAGTTATAAGTATAACACTGAGCACTTTCAGTGCAACACTTATAACTGCAAATCAGTGTATATTCATTGTTTTCAATGATATTTCACTGATTCATTTTAAGAAAGTATGTCTTCGGATATTACATATAAATGTATTTGGTAATATTTTATTAGTAACACGAATATATGTCTGTATGAATAATACAATGAAATGATACTGAATATGGTTGGGGGTGGAGGGAGTGGATTCTTGTACCCTCCTGTATCATTTTTATATTAACGTATACTGTCATGATGAATTAGAGATTACATATCTTAATAACATATATCAATATCAAAATGATAAAGGTTGAGTTGGATTAGTTTTTTGTTAGTTTGATCCTTTCGCCATTTACATTATTATCATAAATTAAGTCCTTTAGTATTGATGTTAAGAGAATGCTGAAGTTGAAAATTTTACCGACAGAATACTAACATTTTTCTATAAAGTTTACGTCGTATTAGTTGTATAGAATTACGAATGCTTTTACGTAATGAAAGTACGTGTAAAAATAAATAACAGCATTGTTCAATATGTGGCGAAAACGAATAAAAATTTTAATATAAAATCCCAAATAGCGCGCACAGAGAATTAAAAAAAAAAAATTCAAAAAGAATTCAGTCGTATGTCACCAATTCTGAATTTATTTTCAGATGTGAAAAGAATTCTTCAGAGTTTAGTTCAGTGAAAAGAATTCTTTTTGCACTCAAAACTTAGAATTGATGACATATGACTGAATTATCTGTGCTATCTGGAATCACAAGCTGTCAGTTAGCATAATATTGGGAGTGTGCATTAATTTTAAGGGATTTTTTTGTAAAAATACGGCTTCATTGTGAAAAAATGGTTACAAATTGATCATTCAAAATATTGTCTATCGTTAGCCACTACTTTTTCCCATCTTTCTGGTAATAGGTGGATTCCACGTCGAAAGAACGACACATCTTTTAAGGCTATCTACGAATCGACCCATTTTTTGATATCCTCATAAGAATGGAAGCGATGCTCAGACAGGCCATGAGTCATCGATCGAAATAGGTGGTAATCGGAAGGAGAATATCTGGAGAATACGGCAGGTATGGACATCCCAGTTAAGCGCTTCTAACGTTTCCTTGACCGGTTTCGCAACATGCGGCCGAGTGTTGTTGTGCTGGAAAATCACTTTGTCGTGTCTTTTCGCGTAATCTGGCCGTTTTTGCTTCAATGCTCGGCTCAATTGCATCAATTGTTGTTGGTAGTGTTCCCCAGTGATGGTTTCGTTGGGTTGGAGCAGCTCATAATACACGGGTGTATATCAGTTGGACACGGGGCAATTGGACACAGTCCAATCACAAGTCGCTGTTCCAAGGGACCCTACAAATGTCTCTAATCACACGATGCTGTGATTGGCTGTGTCCAAATGCACCGTGTCCAAGTGCACCGCTCCCATAATACAATACACCCAACTGATCCCACCAAATACAGAGCAAGAGCTTGGCACCATGAATATTCGGCTTTGCCGTCGATGTTGATGGTTCGTCTGGCCTGCACCATGATTTTTTACGTTTTGGATTATCGTGCCAGAGTTGGGAAGTAACGCGTTACTTGTTACTATTTCGTTACTTTTTTTTGGTAACGATTTGGTAACGCCGTTACTTTTTTGTATCAGTAACGAAAAAGTAACGGCGTTACATTTTCTTTAGTAACGAGTAACGAAATTCATCGTTACTTGTATTGTTACTTTTTTACTATAGCGGCTTCTGTACGCGGCAACGCTTGCTACGCAACGAAAGTTTGCACACGATAAACAATTAATGCGCTGCTTTCCATAAAGCCCATTCTACAATAAGCAATAAATCTTAAGTCGTAATAAAATTGACCAATCATAGTCGACTATTAGAAGAATAATCCACTATAATTGGTTAATTTTATTGCAACTTAAAACTTATTGCTTATTGTAGAAAGCCTCTAAAGCTTAAGACATAAAACTTAAGCTCTAAGCCGTAAGAAATTGACCAGTCACAGTCAATTATTTTTCTTATAATTGACCGTGATTGATCAACTTTTTACGGCTTAGGACTTAAAGCTTAAACTTTATGGCTTAAGTTCTCTTTGTAGACCACGCTTAAGGGGCGCCGCACATGAATTGACCAATTACTTTGAGTATCGTCGAACTGTAAGGTCGCCATTTTTGTGAATACTCGATTGTAATTGGTCCATTTTTACGTTATGTCTTACGTTACTGTTATGTCAATTCGTGTGCGGCGCCTCTAAAGCTCATTCTACATTACTCGCAATCGCAAAATCGCAAGAAAATTGACCAATCATAATTGATTATTCTTCAATCGCAAGAAGAATAATCGACTATGATTAGTCAATTTCTTTGCGACCTTGCGATTTGCGATTAATGTAGAATGGGTTTTATGTCGTTATGCAAGAATATATGCTTTCCGCTTAAATATCTTATATTTTGTCTTTATATATGTATAATTTATGTACTGTCTCTCTTACTATTCGTTTTATAAGCCAATTTTAACTTTTTTTTTTTACAAAAGTAACGGAAAGTAACGATTTTTTATCGTTACTTTTCAAATAATGGTAACGCGTTACTTTTTAGAATCAGTAACGAGTAATGGTAACGAGTTACTTTTTACCGCAAGTAACGGTAATGCGTTACTTTTAAAAAGTAACTTTCCCAATCCTGATCGTAGTATATCTATTTTTCATCACGATATGATGCAAAAAACTTTTTCTTCTGTGTCTTTGAAGCAACAATTCACAGGTTATTTTGTGTCCCTCAGCTTTAACTCGTACGGTATCCAATTTCCTTGCTTTTGAATCATTCCAATGGCCTTCAAACGTCTGGAAATCGTTGATCGATCAACATTTAATGATTCTGCAAGTTCTTCTTGCGTTTGACTTAGGTCTTGATCGTGTAAAGCTTCCACTTCCTCATCTTCAAACTTTTTCAGCTGGCCTGGACGTTCCTTGTCTTCCATGTCAAAAACACCTTTTTTATAGCGTTAAAACCAGTACTCACGTGTTGAAATCGATGGAGTATAATCACCATAAGCTTCCGACAGCATTCGTTGACTTTTAGCAGCACTTTTCTTCAAATGGAAGCAAAAAAGCAAAGCTTCCCACAAATTGCGTTTTGTTGGCACAAAATGCGACATATTTAATGCTCAAAAAAACAATATTGTTTACACTTCGGCAAAATGACACATATTGAAAACTAAAGCCATATGATGGTGCTTTGACATGAAGGTAGCAACAATATGGCCCGATGAGATATAGTACTAGTTACGCCATCTCTTGAAAATCCTTTAAAATTAATGCACACTCCTAATATTTGCCTAATCCAAAAGTTCCGCAGCTTGTACATACCGAAAGTGTGGATGCTCCAAACAGAACAAATTTTGAAGAATATTATTGTATTTTCGTACCTGAATTCAGAAGCTTAAGAATATTCGAAAAGTTTACAGAAAGATCTTTATATATGCGTGGTTAGGTTTTTCGCTGAATGATAAAACAAAGCAACACATATTTACGCAAGTTCTGCATGTACAAGAAATATGAAAAGGATGGTGTGATTGTTAGTGACGATCGTCTCTGCGTTATTGACATTGTTCGAGTTCGTCATTAACTTCAGCATCCCCTTAACTGTTATATTTTTTTTGAACTTCTTTTGATTACGGCTTTCTAATTTTCAGTGACTTTTTGCAGAGACTATACGGGTAATACATCTTTAAGAATGATGGTAAACAATCGCTGGCGGAACCCATGATGTCACCAATCGCGCTTACCGCCGCTGATTCCCCGTCGTCAATCGGTTTTTTTAAATATGCTGCGTGGTCGACATATCTTTAGGAGTGAAATCACGAAGAGGAACAACGTTTTTGCGGAATCATGTGTGGTATTCCGATAAAACGAAGCATACGATGTTGTGCGTGATCTCGTTGAGGACTACTGAACGATCGTTGGACGAAATTACGGAGCCATGATTAGAAACACGTGGCCGAAGCTGATGAGATCCGCGGGTGACAGTCGGGCGAGTCGCGCGTGTGATCGTCGACATTTGTTGTTCAGTAGTAGCGGCAGCGGCGGTGGATCGTTGATTCGCATCATCGTCTTGATCGTCTGTTATACCGTCATGGCAACCTGCGGCGATTCCAAAGATAGAACACCTCGTGGGCTCAAGGAATTGCAGTTGGCTCTGAACAAACCGGGATTGTTAGGTGAATGCGACCTGGAGCCTAGTTGTGATTGGAGGTGGAACAAAACTGGAGGTTTTGTAGTGATGCAGGCGCCGGCACGCAGCAAATTTGGTCCGACTACGGACGCCAATACTACTAAAGATGGTAAATAGATTCGACTCGGTCGTTGAATGGTATTATTTTTATCTGTCTATATTCGCAGGAAAATGATCAAAATTCGCCTTAACTGTTATATTAATACTCAAAAGTTTCACATTAGATCAATGCCCGGGATACTCGAGTATCCATTATGGAATTTTCTACATTACAAGTAGAAAAAGACTCCTTATTGTTTCTCGATTTCAAGAATACTTTCTCGGATTTATGTAATAATAGTTTGCTTAACCCAATAAGCAAATTGAGCGCAGACTGCGCGCAAATTGGCAGCAAATTTGATAAAAAATTTACACCAAAACCATAGCTATCTGTGTCTTCATTCAGCTACGGTTTTGGCGACAGAGCTTGCTGTCGGGCAATTGCTGTAGATTTGCAGCAAAAACCGCGCAGAGCCTGCAGCGCAGCAAGGTCTACGCGGTTTCTGCCGTCAATCTGCCGTCAGATTGCTACAAACTCTGCACGGTTTTTGCTGCAAATCTGCAGCAATTATCCGACAACAGGCTCTGTAGCATATCTGGCGTCAGTTTGGCAGCAAGATTTGATATAACAGATTTTGCATCAAATTTTTTATCTATTTGCCATCAAAAATTGGTAGCAAGTTCTGCTCGAAATCTGTTCACGCAGGTTTGGCTATGTGGGAATGGTTAACATTCTATCTCTTTCCTCTTCCGATTTGCATAAATTTGTTTAGTGCGACTTACAATGGAAGAGAGATAAAAAGGATTTTTTAAATAAAATTTTTTTATTAGCTGACCTAATATTTAACCGATTTTAATAATTTTTTTAAAATTTACTCATTATAAAATTTGTTTTACAATTTCATCGCATGAAATTAAAAAAAAATAAAGTTGAGGTTTAAAATAGCAGGGGAATCCCCAAGATAATTGTGAAAAATATTAAAATGCTAAAATATTGGATATATTTTCACTAAAATAAATATATACGAGTTTTCTGAGAACAGTGATGGGAGAAAGAGGAAGGTAATTTTACGGTCAAAATTAAAATTTTTTGCCACTGAAGATCTAAAGAAACAGTAGGCCGAAATGTTTGACGATTTTAACATGTATACTTATTTTAATGTAAATATATAATACAGGGTGTTATATATATATATATATATATATATATATATATATATGTGTGTGTGTGTGTGTGTGTGTGTGTGTGTGTGTGTGTGTGTGTATAGATACATACATACATACAGGGTGTTCCTCTCTTCATCGCATTAAGTGCGAATATAGAACGGGTGAATATAAAAGTCTTATACCGTTTTGCGATATTCGTAATAATAACCGAGAAAATAATTGTAAAAATTAAGGAAAAACGTACGCTGAATGAGGGAGGAGCCCTTGCGACCCAATAAAATAGCAGGCTGATGTCAGCGCGCGTCTTATATCGCTGATCCTACGTCTTGTCGCACCGCGGCGAGATGTAGGAGTGCAGCGATATAAGTATAGGAAATGGTGCATTGTTTTTCCAATCACCGCGTTGCCGGCATCCGTGGACTATATTAGGCCGCAAGCGCTCCACCTTCAACCATTCAGCATGCGTTTTTCCTTAATCTTTTACAAATAATTTTTCGGTTATTATTGCGAATATCGCAAAACATTATGGGACTTTTATGTTCACTCGCTCTACATTCCCACTTAATGTGATAAGGAGAGTTTGGGACTCCCTGTATATAGGGTATCTCAAAATTATAACACACGAACTCCATAGAGGCGTAGAGCTAAGCCATTTAGCGATAACGCGTCTAGTTTGTTAGTAATAACTGCGTAAAGTTTGGCGTTTCTCATGCCCATCGCGGCCTACAGATGCTTCGCGGCGAGCTGTGTACGTTGAGGCTGTAGCGCGGCTCGCGCTGACCGTCGCGATAGTGTTTTGACGCTTTGACGCTGCCGGCGCGCAGCGAGGCAACGATGAACGCGCTGCGTTACCGCTCAGCCTCGACACACACAGCTCGTCGCGGAGCGTCTATAGGACGCGATAAGTGTGACAAACGCCAAACTTTACGCGGTTATTACTAACAAACTAGACGCGTGTCGTTAAATGGAAGAGGACTCTCCTCTCGCTTAGCTCTACGCCCCTATGGAGTTGATGTGTTATAATTTTGAGACACCATACACACACACACACACACACACACACACACACACACACACACACACACACACACACACACACACACACACACACACACACACACACACACACACACACACACACACACACACACACACACACACACACACAGAGGGTGTCTCAAAACAAGCTATGAAGCTCTCGTGAGAACGACATAGGGCAGGTTAACTTAAACATAAAGGTCCTATACCGTTTGCGACGACTTTTCTTACGAATTAAGGCGGATAGTCGTCTGTCCGCCGCGTCGGCAAATTTCCGCGGTCCTCGGCTTGCAACTTTGAGACGCGAACACCAATAAGGCTGCACCTCTTCACTAAGCATCAAATGCAGGCATCAAGGAAATCGATGATCGCGAATCGCGAAACCGGGAACTTTACGGGACCGGTAGCTTCACTTTTGTTAAGTCGGAGACGGGATGAGTGTTGCGGAAGGCCGGTTGTCGGTCAAGAAAATAAAAGGAAGTCTGCATGTACGGTAGGTGTAACTTCTTTATTATCCGAGACGCACTCGCTCCGGTAATCGCTATAGTACCGAGTTCATATGTCGTATACTCGTCGTATGTCAGGCCGCTCGTTATTTGGCTTCAAAAACGTGTTCGCGAGACGATATTAGGATGTCGCGGCGCAACACGGTCCTCGATATTTTTCCTATGCAATCACTCGACGCGAACACGGAACGGACGGCAACGGCGATTAGACGATTAATAACGAGTGGGTGGTCTTACAAAATACGGAGCTCGCTCCTCGGCTTTGATCCTCGCTGGCGGTCTCTCGGCTTCTCCTCGCTCTCGGTTGCTCCCGTCAGCCGGCCGGTCACAACCGCCCTCGCCTTCAGTCGCGTTACAATGACGGTATCTCGTCAACTCGTCGGACTACGGTAGTCTGAGGGGTACACTAAGAGACGGCAGCGGTAGAAGGGGCGATACAATTATTTTCTCTGTTCCGGCAACGATTCTCTAAACGATCGCTTTCGCGTCCCGGTGGCAAGTCTGCTCACTCCCTTTTGTCTTGCCTTTTTCTCTGCTTCTCTCTCTCTCTCTCTCTCTCTCTCTCTATATATATATATATATATATATCTTTCTTTCAGCCAATCCTCGCGGTAGTCCTCTTTGTTTTTAACGAGCTTTTTCTGCTGGCTGTCTTTTGCTGTTTATGTTGTTGGCCGTCAGCTGTTGTCTATTACCTAGCTCGGCCGGTGTCTTCCTCTCGAGTCTCTCCTCGACGCGTCATGTAGCGGAGCTGGAAATATAAACCCTGCGAACGGCAACCGAAATCGGGACAACAATTTCTCATTAGGCGAGATCGAGAGTTAAAGTTCTTACCTGAGTGCCATTTAAATGGCTAGTCGGCGAGAGCGGTGTCGCATGCTGGTCTCCTCTGGTCCCGCGTTGTCCTTCTGACTCCTTCTCTTCTGGGTTGGCGAGGTGAGCTTGGGCTACACTCTTAGAGACGCGGTGACCAGCCCACTTTCCTGATCCTAGTTTCGCTAAATCTCCCACAATGTTACGCGACTGCAGGTTGATCTCGCGCTTGCAAGAACGGTATTCAGGACGCAAAACGCGGGACGCGCGTCAAATAGGTGGAGGGCACTCCTTGTGACGGGCGTTTTTCGGGCCACCACGTCACACGTTTTGGATATTTGCAATAATAATCGAGAAATTAATTATGAAAGATTAAGGAAAAGCATGTGCTGAATGTAGAGGACGGAACGCTCGAGTTACAGTGCAGCCCAATAATATCGCGCGGATGTCGCGCATGGCGATTGGAAGGCAATGCACCACTGTCTATACTTATACCGCTGTGCTCCTACGTCTTGCCTCGGCGCGGTGCGGCAAGACATAGGAGCGTAGGGGTATAAGTAAAGATAGTGGTGTGTTGTCTTCTAATCGCCACGCGCGACATCCGCGCACTATATTACTAAGCCCTTATTCTTGAAATAGTTACGTATACGTAAATTTTACTGCGCAGGTTTAATCATACCATAAAATAGCTGCGCAATGAAAATTACGTTTACGTAAAAATTTCAAGAATATGGGCTGTGACTCAAGCGGTGCATCCTCCACCACTCAGCACATGCTTTTCCTTAATCTTTCGTAATTAATTTCTTGGTAATTATTATGAAAATCACAAAATCACAAAATGGTATAGGACTTTTATATTTATTTTAACTCGTTCTGCGTTCTCACAAGAGCTTCATAGATTGTTTTGAGACATCCTGTATATACAGGGTGAATTATTTTAATTTATCTAGCTGATTATTTCGAAAACTAAGACCGACAGACAAAAATGTTTCAAACAAAAGTTATATGGATCGAGGGGAGACATAAGAAGGTACCATTGGTTTGACCTTGCGTGGCCCCGCAAAGATCAGGTCAATTTTATTTTTTTTAAATAGAAACATATTTTTTATTACGGAATTTTATTCTACGTAAAAAAGCAAACAACTTTTGTTTAAAAACATTTTTTATCTGACCTTTATTTTCTAAGATATTTACGAAAATATCTACAAAATTATTGGTTTCAACAATTTCTTACTCGAATTCTATTAAATTTACCGAAGAATAGGGAGAGTTAAAAATTGTCTATTTTCTTCTCGTAGAGCTCTGAGATTTTTTTCAGAATTTTTTAATTAACTTTTTTTAGTACTGCATTTCCTTGCATTTTCTTGAAGTACTAAAAAGTTAAAAAATTTTTGGAAAAATTCTCGGAGCTTTACGAGAAGAAAACAAATAATTTTTATCTCTCGCTATTTTTCGGTAAAGAAAAATTATTTATTTATAGAATATAAATAAATAGCGGTTTATAGAATTCGAGTAAAAAATTATTGAAGCCAATAATTTTGTAGAT